CCTTCATCCCCCAGCCTGTATTGATATTGGGGATTGCCCCAAGCCAGGTGCAGGACCTTGCACTTGGCCTTGTTGAAATTCATGAGTTTCTCATGGGCCCACTCCTCCAGCCTGTCCAGGTCCCTCTGCATGATACATACGGCCCAAACTCAGAAATTGCCTTGGAGAAGAAGCTCAAAGCCTCAAAGTACTTGATCTTGCTAAGTATCCCATCCCCTTCTTGTTGCCTGCAGGAACATCGTGCTGGCATCCCATCTGAAGCCCCTAGAGAAAAAGGACAAGATGGGTGAGAGGAGGAACGTGCTGTGGAATCCCTGTGCAGCCCACGCCAAGGCCCCGCAAGCCAGTGACATGGAAATACCCCAGGTGAGGGAGACGCTTTCCAGAACTTTGTCCACATCTAAAAATTACTCTGTAATAATTTGGGGATTGTTTTAAAATGCAAGAGTTATTCTGAAATATGTCTACATGTGAGCAAGCCCCCAAAGTCCCCCGGAGTACTGGTGTTCAGATAACTACAGTGTTCAGTCTTGGCCCCTACTTTGTGTCTGACAAGAACTTGTGCCAGCTGCTCCAAGAAGAGTCTGCTTCAGCCCTGTGGGAATCTAAGACCAGCTGCACGGCGTCGGACCAGAGCTCCCAATACCCTGGTGGTGGCCAGTAACAGATTCTTGGGGAAGAGTGCCCTCCCTTGACCGCGCTCTTCCAGCTGGCTGCGGTTTAGAGACCGAGAGCCAGGGCTGTGCATCTGGATCATCGCGTTTAATAGCCGCAGACCGCAGATCTTCTGTGAACGTAGCCAGTTCTTTTTCACCCCACGGTTTAATTATGCATGATATGGAAGAGTGCTATTTAGTTTTAAACCTGCTGCCTGATGAATTCACTGGATGCTCCTTAGTTCTTCACTTGTGGGAAATAGTGACTAAACATTTTCTGTTGAGGTCATTTGTGATTTGAGTGACATCTGTCCCGTCCCCTCTGGCAGACTCTGCCCACGCTGGAGAGTCCTGGTCACTGAACCTGTAGCCGGGGGTGTTTCCCTTAGATGTTTCTCATGGATTTTTTGACACTGAATTTCATTTGCCTGTTTATTATGAGATCCTTCTGCAACTTTTCTGGGCAGCTTTGTATTTGCTTGGACTGAGCAATGATCTCCCCAGAGCAAATTCTGTTCCTAATCCCTTTAGTGCTTGGGCTCTGATCTCCAGGGCTTCTCCATTTTGTGTTTTGACACAGCCTGATGTTGCTGTGCCTTGTTCTCGCTCCCTGTATAAAAGCCTAAACATTTTAATCCTCCTTCAGTCTGTGCATCAGTTAAGTCAGCGGTGATGAGTTCAGCAGTTCAATTACATATTGTATGAAACAGGATTTCCTTTTATCTGGAGATGCCACATTGAGCTTGGCTCTGTCTTTTAGTGCAAGCTCTCTGCCACAGACCATATGAATGCGGTATGTTACGAGATGGTGTGTTAGGGCCATCTGCATATTGTCTGGGTTTTACATGCTATAACTTTTATCTCCTCACCCCTTTGATTTGCCTCACGGTGCTCAAGATGGGGCAGAGATTTTTACTGAGCTGCCCCAGTCTCCAGGAGATCCCTTCCCAAGCAGCGATGGTGGATCCAGACTGGGCAGCGTGTCTGGTTCTGGTTAGGGTTGGGGTTACTCCACTACTGGTCTGTGTTCATCCATGCTGTGCTTCATGTCTCATCCATTCTTCCATTATTTTCCCCTGAAGTTCTCTGGTTTCTATGGGGCTTGAGGAACCTGATATTTCTTTGTCTTTTCTCTATGTTTTGCCACCTCACATGCAGCCCTTTGTGTTATCAAAGCCCGTGTTAGAAACATTTCAGACATCCACAGGTTGATTGAGGTGGAGGGGATAAAAATCTTCAAATGGGAACAAAACAAAAGGAACTGGTAACTATTTTTTCCTTCAGGAACTGGATCAACTGCCTGGAACCTCTGCCGAATTTTACAGAGATTGGCGCAGATGCTTAAAAAGCGGAAAAGAAAAATACCAGCTTTTGCTTGAACTCGGAGGGAAGGCCTTGGGCAGAATCTTTCAGGCTGACGTGGGCTTTGGCCTCCTGGGTGAATTCCTTACGGTGCTGGCAGAGAACGCCTGTCATGAAGACAGAGATGCCATCCTTCAGATCTTACAGAGCCTTTCGGGCACCAAGCGCTTCGGGTTAAACGTGGATCTTCTGAGCGAGTTGGAGAAGGAGAGCAGCAGGGATTTGTTTAGGAAGCTGAGGAGCATGAGCAGGGATTACTGGACCACTGGCCATCCCAGTGGCCTAGCCAGCTGCAAAGCAGAGAGGGAAGCCCCCATCATGAACACCAGCCTGCAAAAGGAAGTCGAGGAGGAAAGGATAGTGATGGAGCTGATGAAATGTTACCAGGTCAACTGAAGGAGCAGAAGCACCAGGGTCATGCAGAAACAGAGTGCAAAAGACGCTCAAAGCTTGACTTTGGCACCGCTGTGTGACGGCTAAATCGGGTACTTCTGGAGCGTTGCTGTACATTTGTCTGTATCTGGGAGCCACCCAGAGCAATAGTTCTGCACAAATAAAAGTTAGTTACCAAGAGGACTGTGTTGTGATCTCTGGGGCAGAGTGTCCTCACAGAATGGCTCTGTGAGAATCTCGTAGACAAGGAGACAAAGAAAAACTAGGCTGGTATTCCTGAAGGAGAAACCAAAACCCAAATAATCCCTTCCCTTTTTCATCTCTGTCTGTTGTCACTCAGGTGATTTAAGAAATGTAATCAATGACACTTTGTGTTTAACCGTGCAGCCACTGAAGTTAGAATGGGCTGATGGAGGTGGGAGTGCTGTGCAAGGCGGTATATCTGGGACTGCCCAACCAGCTATTTTATTGTTATTCTACCCCAACCAGTAGGGCACGGGGTAAACTTCAGAGATCCTGTCACCTCATGGTCCTGTGATCTCAGACACTATCTGATTTGCTGCAATTCCACAGAAATTGAAATTTAAAAGGAACTGGCAGGCATCAGTCCAACAAAGAGACTCTCCAGGACTGCCTAATACTATGTGAGTCACGCTTCGGTTTTGGCTGCCAACCAGAGAGGTCTTCATATGGCACAGCTCAGCACCGACCCACCAAGCTTTCTTTCAGTTCTGGTCTGGGAGGATCCTCAAACTTTTCCCAAGCGTGCTGAGGAGCCCAATGTATGTTACAGTGCTCAGACTCCCTTGAATTCAGTTCAAAAACAACTGTCAGGTCCATTTTGTCGCAAAACCCAGCTAGAGGAGCGAAAGGTAGAGTCACCCTGGCAGACTATAACCATCCTCTCCCACATTCTCTGCAGAAACCACTAGGCACCTATTTGATTATCCTGTGAAGTCGGGCACTTGAACGTTGGGCTTTGTGGCATCTGTCTTGGTGGACAATCTGTTGTGGGTGCCATCCCTCTTGCCTTTGCATAACACTTGCAAATCTGAGGACTAGCAGAAAGCCAAGAGCTGAAGTCTTAATCAAAACAACAAAGTTTCTGGAGTTTCCCAAGGTCAGGATGGAGGATGATGCAGGAACAGCCCCGGCATGACAGTTACAGCTCTGATGGGAGCAGGCACGGTGCTTTCAGCAGTCCGGAGGTTCAGGGCTTGCACTCACATTGTATGTCAAGGATGGGAGCAGCCTGCTGCATCCCCATCACTCGGAAAAGGCAAAATCCCCGTGGTTTGGTGAGAAGACTCAGGAGAAATGAAGTACAGGAGAGGTTATGTGAACGTTTATGGGAGGACGGGCTGTTAGACCAGCTGGGATCAGTTTCCCAATCTGTCAGTTCATGGTCTGATCTGAGTGGCTGCTCAAGAAGTGCCAAAAGCTGAGCCAGTCAGTGGGGAGCAACTAGCTCACCTTCATCATAGGAGAGATGCATTTACGGCCTCCAGGGCTGGTTCCAGCATCAGCCCAGGCAAGGGTGATGTGAATGAAAAGCCTTGCTCAATCACTCAGAGAGGAGTCTCAAACATTACCTGGGGAGGGGGTGTGCTTCAGCACACAAATCCTTGGAAAGCCAGCAGGGAGCGTGCAGAAGTCTAAATACCGTGTTTGAAACCTCTTGTTTTGGACTACGGAGGTCAGCTGCCATCAGAGGAGGGTCTCCTCTGGGTTTGTTGCTCTCAGAGGGATCGGAGCTATCTTTAACATTTACTGCACGAGTCTTTCAAGAAGACATCAGCAGTTCCCTTGTTCCCACCGTGCTTCGCATCACTGCATCTTCCCTCTGTCTGCTGCACGAGCGACCTGCCTGCTCGTTGTCCAGGGCACGGATAACACTCTAGAGCGTCTGGGAGAGAAGAGAGATTCTAGAATCCGTGTCCCAGGGGACAGCCTGCCCCAGGGCAGGACAGAGTGCTTCTCAGCAGATATTTGTTTGAGATGGGATTTTTCAGCCACTGTTTGATCCCTGCTGTCAGTCACGTGCACTGCAGGTGGGGGGGTTGTTTGCAAAACCCCTCTTTGGCAAGCAAGCCGGTGTGTGCACCATCCCTGCCCCATGCTGGCACTGCTCACCCCACGCATGGGTTCCTGCCATCCCAGGTGGCTGGGTTGGTTCTGCTGACTGCAGACAGCCCAGCGCAATGGTGACGAGGCTGCTGGGAGCCGCCATTCTCCTCTGCCTGGTAGATGTTCTCCACGCTTTTGCAACTGAAGAGAAAGGAGATGTGTTCCAGAGGATGGCTTGTCCCGCTTTCCTGATGTTCGACAACGCTGCTTACTTGGCTGATATGACCTTTGAGCTCCCCTGCAACTGCAAGCCCGAAGAGGTCTCTTCTGTCGTCTGGTACTTCCAGAAGAACATGGGCAGCCATGAAACCACGGTCCTGACGGACTTTGCTGGTACTGTGGTTGTCGACTCAAGCCATATCCATGCGGGCAGCGATGTGCTGAAGCGTTTCAGTATCCGGATGTTCAGTCTCATCGTCTTCCGAGCCCAGGTGGCGGACTCAGGACACTACCTGTGCGGCACTAAGACAGGGGACTTCTTTTACGGCTATGATGTGGACGTGCAGCCCACCAAGCACATCATGGTGGCATTTGTGGACAGAGGCCAGCACATCCAGCACGACTACACAGGGAAGCTCTTCAGCCTCTTCACCACCTTCTGGGACTGGACCAGATGCGACCGCTGTGGGGTGAGAGGTGAGCAGCGACGGATTGGGCTCTGCTACATGCAGAGTGCCCAACTGCACCCTCGCTATCGTGCCGCCGTGCCCAACATCACGTCCTGTGGCTCAAGGGCTGTCCCCGTGCATTTCCAGCGCCCCGGCCGCCTCCGGAGACCCGAGGTGGCCATCCGAAGCTGCCTGACCCCTTGCCCAAAGGAGGAGGTCCCCAAGGAAGGCGTGCAGGCCATCTCCAATGTTATTTTCAAGCTGGGCAAGAAGCCCTGGCTGCCCCACGTCCCCACGCAGTTTCACCAGCAGCCCGTTGGAACTGACCTGATCATCGCGTGCCCAGGAGCCCGGCCCGAGCATGCCGTGGCCTGGGACAAGAACTCTGTCCGGCTCTACCGCTCCCGCTACCTCGTAGGTGTCAACAGGAGTATGCGGGTCTTCATCGACCACGGAAACCACCTGCACATCCAGCAGCTCCGGGTCAGTGATGGAGGCACCTACTTCTGCTGGCGGGAGGGGAAGATGGTGGCCGGCTTCCGTCTCAGCGTGATGCACCAGCGCTGGCGCAGGCGGACCCTCGACGATCCCGAGACTATCTATGCCATCAAGGTCATCGGCATGAGCTACGCCGTCATCAGCATCATCTTCATCATCATCCACATGTGCCGCTGCTGCTGGCGGGGGGCTGCTGCGGGCGGGTGTTCAGGTGCCCTGCCAGCAGATAGCATCTCCACCATGGCCCTGACAGGTCACTCTTACACCTTGGATAATTCTTGTTGGAAATTTCTAATATTCTGACAATTAGAAATCAGTGTGACCAAATTCTGCCAGCACCTGCTTATCCTCCCTTTCGGGTCGAGAGCACAATGGTGAGGACCAATGCAGAAAACTCCCTGAGCTGTGGATTGGTATGGCTTGGTAGGGACAGGCGGGCATTTCACACCACCACGACTTGTTCCTGCTTCTGCTGCTGGCTTGCAGTGGGGTTTTAAGCTCAATACAGTGCTTTTCAAAAGAATACTTGGAGTTGTTGCAAGGTTTTCTGGCCAAGCTGAGACTTCTCAAACTGCATCAGTGATTTATTAGAGCTGTTTTTCTAAGAGGCTGCTAAAAAGATCCACCAAACTATTTTAATCCAATTAATTCTTGCTTTTCTTACCCTTTTTTTTTTTTTTAACTGTTTTTCATTGCCGAGACCTTTGAGTGCCAGCATTACAAAACCTTCAATGTTCCTTTCAGCTCCTCAGCTGGAGCAAACCCATCTTTTTAAATCTTTCATTTCTGAAAGGGGAAAAAGACATTTCCAAATGAATCTGGTGGAGTTCTTTAGAAATTTCTCTGTTTTGTTGTTTTGTTGTTTTTTTTTTTACCTTGCCTGTCTCAGCACAGACTTGTGAATTGATATTTATGCCTGACAAAAGATGTCCTCCAAAGAAGATGGCATCTCTGCAGGGTTTAGGTGGCTCACTCCTCAGCATAGAGTGGGAATTCTCCATGGACCTCATCTCTGCTTCTTTTTTCAAGGATGTGGCTTGGGAATTTCAGCTTTCCCAAGAGAAATACCACTGTCCCGGAGGCCGGGCAGCCTTGAGGGGCCCAGCGATGCTCAGGAACTTGAACCACATCGATGATGTGCAGGATCTCAGAGCCACCATCAGTCCTGACAGCTGCAGCTGATCCCAGGAGCCGCAGCCTGGGCTCATGTGGGGAAGGAGCTGGGTTTGGGGCTGAAGACCCCCAAGCAGATCCCTTCTTCCCCTCCCTCCCTCCCGGGAAGGGGCTGTCGCCCACCCTGCTGCCTGGCTGCCAGCTCTGGGGGGTTATGCCTGCACCCACCTCCCCTGTGTTGGAATCCCTTACGGGTGTTGACCCACGAAGCGTTGGCCATGCCTTGGGGTACAGCACTGATCTTGCATCCCCTGCAAGTCTGAGCCTGGTTTGGACTCCCGAAGGGCCTTGCAGCCCCAGCTGATCCCAAATAACCCAGGGCACTGGCTGCGGAGAGGCGGATTGCAGGCACGACTGTGGAAGCGCAGTGCTTGCGTTAGCTTTATTTCTCATCTCAAGCTGCTGCGGGCGTTAGTGCATTAATTCAGTAGCGACGTGGGCTGTAAAGCTCCAGCCGGAGGCTGCTCGCAGGGGACCGAGCCCCCCAGGCCACCGCCATCCCGCCCCAGATGCCAAACCTGGGCAGCACCCGGGTCTCCTCTTATAACATCTCCTGCCCTGGGAATGGCCTTTCTGGAGCCAGTAGCTGCAAAGCAT